CTCTCTCTCTCTCTCTCTCTCTCTCTCTCTCTCTCTCTCTCTCTCTCTCTCTCTCTCTCTCTCTCTCTCTCTCTCTCTCTCTCTCTCTCTCTCTCTCTCTCTCTCTCTCTCTCTCTCTCTCTCTCTCTCTCTCTCTCTCTCTCTCTCGCTGTCCGCGTGTGTCGGGGGAGGGATTGCAGGCAGACTGCGTGTGTGTGTGTGTACGTGTGGGATATAATATGTTCGCTAGATAAGCGTCTCATTACTGCAGGGATCACTCGCAGCATCCCCTCATCACCGATCTCATCCACGCACGGCTTATGTCGCTGCTTCTCTGCTTCTCTGTTTCTATATGTGCCTGTCTGCCTGTCTGCAGGCAGGCAGGCAGGCAGGCAGGCAGGACTGCCTGCCTACCTACCTACCTGCCTGCCTACCTGCCTGCCTGAGTCAGTCACAGATACCCGTCCCGTCACAGATACCCGTCCCGTAGTAACGCACGGTCGTCGTCGTCATCGTCGTCATCATCATCGTCTGCTAGGGTCGCCGTCATCGTCTGCTAGGGTCGTCGTGTGTAACGCTCCCCCGCTACACCCGCTGCTGTCCTACTGCTGCTCGTTTACCCTGTCTCTCTCTCTCTCTCTTTCTCTCTATCTTGGGGTAAAGTTGAGTGTTCCTGTCGCATCGAAAATACGTGATGATATCAGTCGCGAATAGTGGCAAGCGGTAGTGGCGCTGTCTCGTTAGATCGATAGCAGATTGTTGGAGTGCTGTTGTACGCACCTCAGTGATCCTCGCGCCTGTTTCACGTGTTTGCAAGCAGTGTGTTGTTACGACGTAGATTGGGTTTGGGGGGGGGGTCGTTGTTAGGAGCGCATGGTGGATGTTGTCATGTTGTCATGTTGATATTGTTGCGAGTGGAAAGTCAGTGTTCCTCGTGGAATTATGCGACGGCGAAATGGAGGGGAAATTTCTGTTGGAAAAACGCATGACTGTCAGTCTAGGTAAACTCAACGTCATAGTGAGATATTTTTCCCGTGGAAACGCACAGATGGCGTTTCTGCCTCTACTTCGTGTGCTACAGTGTAGAGAGAACATTAGTTAGTTACAGCAGCATCATGCATTGTGCATGACGTGTAATCAAACATGTATTTATGAGTAGTATTTTAATATTGATAGAAATTAGAATCGAGAATGCATTCATTTTCTCTCTAGAAATATGATCAAGTTTATCTGTTGGGGTTCTATTCTTTCCCCTTCCTTTTCCCCTTCCTTGCCTCTCTCATCACTTTCTATGCGTGTGTCTATGTCATCTCTTTATCTGTTCTCTCCCTCCCTCCTCTACCTAACTCTCCCTCTCTCTCTCTCTTTCTCTCTCTCTCTCTCTCTCTCCGGCCCGGCCGGGTTCTCCCTACGTTGCGCAAACGGGGCGCGCGCGCCCCGTTTGGGAAAACTCCCCCCTGTTTGAATCGTTGCCAAACTTTTATTGTGGTGGAATTTAAACGGGGCACCAGCGCGGGAATCGATCGTCAAGAATTGCCGTTCGACC